ATTCGATTCGATCAAATTCAAATTGATTCAAATTGATTCGATCAAATATTTGAGTTCAATTTGATTTGATTTGATTTTGAGGAACCCTAGCCATGCTATTTCACAAGAAAAATTTGAAATATTTTTGGATTGATTTCTTATGTATGAAAATTAATTTGTCACACAAACAGTCACATAGAGTTACAGATGATTTGCAGAGTATTACCTATTACATCATATGCACTTTAATGAGGATCAAAAACGTGTTAATTTATATCGCACAGGCTAATATGCATTGGCTGTGAGGCGCTTCGCATGGCTGGATAATATATTATTTTATTAAGATAATATTCGGGATCTGGATTAAGGACTGATCTGAAAAATTTGACGCACGATCTCACAATTATCATTCAAATCTGTGTAATTTACGGTAATATTTTTTCTGTAAATATGATATATGTATTTTAATGGTAATTGCATATAGGTTTTATTATTGATGATTTACTCTTATATGCCTTATATTCTGAAATTCTGATGAAATATGCATAATTATATTTTTTATGAATACTATAATTTCTGGGATTCTGTAGCTATTTAATATGTTAAGCCAATATGCATCTCTAACAACTATATAGCTTTGCTAATATAATAATTTTTTAATAAGTATATATGTTGTAAAAGATAATCGTTATCATAATTGGACTTTCTTCTCATATATCCAACCATTTTTCGCTAAAAAGTAATATTCCTCATAGCAAATTTGTCTCGAATGATGATATCCTTCATTTTTCATACCTAAAAACTTCATATTGTCAGGAGTACCATCATTCTTCACCATCTTCCAAACTTGTTTTGCCAAAGATTTAGGTCTCTTCTTGTAATTCCTATAAGTTCGTTGGATTAATGTTACATAGAAATTATAAGCCATAATAATAGTAGTATTTAGAAATCAAGATCCCCCAAGATCACTTCATTGATTTTCCTGAAATACTTCACTAAAATAATTATATATTAGAGGATCTAACCCAGAATAGGCAGATCACATTTTTTATTCCGCAGGTGGATATATTCACAATTTCACTAGGTGATTATAAATATAAATTATATAACACAAAAAAATGTATACAGTAAATATGAAGACATGACATTCTGCCAAGAAATTTGCGGGACGAAAAAATGTCAAGAAAAATTTTTATTAATACAGATAAAAAATAAATACAAAGCTCGGGACTTTGCCCGTGATACATAATATTGATTCCCTATGCTAAGTCCCTTATGCTTTTACTATTACTTCTCTATCCGGACTTGATAATTCTAACACCTCATCAACTGGGATTCCGGACTCTTTGATATTATCACAAATCAAATAATACTTTTTCTTACCTTGCACATCAATCCACCAATTGCCAAGCATATACAAATGCTTTTTTTCGCATATAGGGCAGATTCCCGAACCAAAGATCTTTTAGCAATCCATTTGATGCTCACTTTCCTTATCTATGCTATACTGTAGTTCCAAACATGTTAGTTCTAAATAACGTGCTCCAGACCCTTTTTTTGAATTGATTTACCACCAAATTAGTAACCTCTTCACGCTTCCCTTTTGATAGCTTCTTGCAGAGAGGAACGAGCTTCAGAAGGGCTTTAGAAATTTGGGATCTCTTGCTAGAAATATTTGCAGAGTAGTTAGGTGTTTGAGGCTTTGATAATATACTCACCTCAGCTTTGGGCTAATTCTCTGGACCTGAAGAATTAGACACGAGTTAAAAGCGGTTGAGATGATTCGTTATTAATCGGAAGATTCAGTCACGTGCGCGTGACAGTTTGTAACGCCGGACCGAGATATTTTTTCCATACGTAGCTTCCACAATTTTTACCATTAACTAGTTTTATCGTTACAAATATGTCTTCTGAATCCACGTTAGCCGAAGTAGTTGAGAAGCAGGGTAAGAAGATACTAGAGCAGGGTAAAGAGATACTAGAATTGAAAGAGCAGTTGGTGGCACTGCAGGAACTTCAGGAATCGGTTTATGGAAGAATCAACTATTTGCAAAAGGCCTTCAAGCTTGGGCTTATTAAGGAAGGAACTACAGTGAAATATAATACAGTGGTCGTTAAAGTGACCGTAAAAGGAGAACGTGCGTTCCTGTACTACAACAATAAATTTTTTGATTCCTTTTATAAGTTCCTTTCTTCTGTTCATGGGGTATGGCCAGTCACTTTGTTTTTTAATTATAAACTTGAATTCGATATTTATGAATTTTTCTATTTCAAGCCTGGACAGTACAAGAAGCTTATCATTGACGGAGTTTCATACAAGACTTTCCTCGAATGTCTGAAAGCCAGTAATGGTAAGTATTAAAAGTTTTCTATATAAACACTTTCAAGTCTCACGCATTGCATTAATACGTTGAACAACTTTATAAACAGATAAAGAATCAAACATGTCATTGGAAACCTCATCACCTGATAACTCAACGGGTAACGTCATTGACCCTCTTCTTACTGAGATCACCACCTACTTTGTTGAACGTGGCTTCCAATCAAGTCTCGTTAGCTCCTTTCTGAAGAGGAGGTCTCGTCTTGAATTCATGACCAACGAGGAAATTATGTTTGACTTTCTTGAAGAACGTGAGCAAATGGATCCGATAATTTTTATTGGCATTGAAGGAAGTGAGGGTGTGGAGTCAGGTAAAGATAAGGAATTGCTTGTGAAGTGGGGTCTTACGGAGGAATCCGCAAGAAATCTCCGTCATATTGTGCGCAATGATACCATTTGGTCTCAACAAGTTTTAAAACATTGGTTACTCAAATGGATTCATAACTTATGGAATTCTTTGAGTTTTGACAATATTTTCAACAATGAAGAAAAATTTCCACGCAACCAGTGGAACAGTTATGAAAGAAAAGGTGGCCCACAAATGTTTGCCTCGTCCTATGAATATATCATCAATATCGGAAAGGATACCTTATTGATAAACAATACAAAAGTTGCAAATCAGGCGAACACTAACTATCAGGCTTTTTTCCACGCAACGGACTACCAAAGCGCCCAATCTATCAGTAAGAACGGAATCAATCCCTACCTAGGCAGACCTTGCCTCGACTTTGGGCGATCTCCAAGCTTTTACCTGAACCCATCGCTTGAAAACGCAATTGATTTCATTAGGAATCGTGTGGGATTTTATGCAATTATTATATATTGGGTCGATACAGAAAGAGTAAAAAGCATGGCGTATCGAGATTTAGTTCCAAACGAAGAATTGTGGAAGGAGGTGGTGGTCGCATCGAGGTGTAGGCAGCGTTCGGTCATAGAAAGTGACAAATTTGTTTATGGATATCAGATGTCAAACCCAAGGCAAATTCTCCTTGCCTGGCAGGCATATGGTGGAGAGGATGTTGAGAATTCATGGCGAAATCACATTCAAGAGGCCAGATGGTTTAATCCAGTTCGCCATCTTCAACTTGCCGTTAAGACTGAAGATGCGGCGGAACTTATAAACAGCTATCGTGTTGGGATCATTTATTTCCATACAAAAGATGAATAATGTAAAAAATTGATAGTTATAACATTGTATGCTTTGTTTTTTTTCTTTTTCCTGCAATATTAATAAAATAATGTTTGAGCCATTCATTTTTGCTTTACTATTTTACTAATCGGAGTGCATGATGATCAGGTGCCGGGCAAACATACTGTATTTGCAAAAATTAATGGCCGAGACACGGCTTCATTCCTAATATATTGAAGCTTTATTTAATGAAATAAATCGTTGTCGGAAACAGCAATTAATACATAAAAATTGCGAATATATCGCTATTACATGAAACGAATAAAAAGACTAATTATCTTTACTTAGTATATCTGGCACCGTTTCAGTAGGAGGGTACACGATAACATTGATTTTCTTTTCACCGGAATAGATACGTTGGGGTTGAGTAGAAAAATGATTAAAAATCCTATCTTGCAGTTCCATTCTTACTGCACCCTCCACTTCGAATACTTCGTTGTTTCTTAAGGTTTGGATTACGACACTATCACTTATGAAGTCAACCCTATATAAAGCCAATTCATTCAAATCTATATCTTGAAATCGATCTAAACGACGGTTTCTGATTGCCTCCGCAAGAGAAGAGACTCTATTGTCATTAGCATTAGATATCGTTACTTCAAAAATATCGTTCACTCCCTCACCAGGAATGAAACAATTAAGAATAATGTCCCCACCAGTGAGAAACTTTTCAAGCTTGTCAGGTATTTTGGACTTATCAGGTACCTCGGTCTTATCAGACATCTTGCTTTCCTAAATACAAGGCCCATTATGAGAAATTTTCGCTTGCATGTATACAAAACTTCTAGCATAAACATACCTTAAATTTTTTGCTGAACTTCCACATATCACTACATGCTTTATATCTTGCTGGAAAAAAGTTGAGATATGAGTCGTGTTTAGTATTTTTGTCTGATGCCAAGAGTTTTATGAAAGCACATGCAAATGGAATCCTCATACCTTTTCACATGTAGATCTACCGGGATATACACCAAAAGAGGCTGGTGTTATAGTGCACTTCTCAATATGAATATTTGGATTAAGTGAAATGAGCTGATCCACAACTTTTTTGCTAATTTTATAACATCCTTCCAGATTAAGATATTTTAAATTAAGACATGATCTAGCAATTTCTTCGATAGTTATATCAGTAATTTTACAAAAGCTAAGGTTAAGTTGCTGGAGCCTTGGGCAAGAACGAATAACATTACAAATCGATAGTTCGCAA